GCTCGCCGGAGTGTCGCCGCCATGCCCTGTCGTCGTGGCCGGGGCACTTCCGTCGGCCTTTCGCCATGTAAACGTGTGTGCTAGCTTCGCAGTAGGATGTAGGAGCTTGACATGACGGTTGGTTGGGCCATTGTGGCTGGCTCCAGCGTATCGCCGTCAAGCCGCGCTGTCTTGCCGCCATGGTCGCCGCCGTCGTCTTGAGCTCCAACGATAGGTCTTGTTAGGTAGTTCTCTAGGTGCACAATGCCATGGTGATGCTCGTCTTGTCGTTGGTCTCGCCGGGAAGGTCGTCGTCGGCGAGCTCCGCCATTCCCGTGCCGGTCCGCGTCGGCTCCTCTGTTTTTGTGTCTATGACACGCGGGCCCAGCTGACCGGTGGACCCCAGTTGTCAACGACTGAGTATTAGAAAGATAGTTCAAAAATGCAGTTTTGAATGCTGATTTGATATTTTTGTATCTCCTGTTTTGTAGATCTAAATTGGGTGGTTCCAATTGTTTTAGATTCACAGTTAGGTCTAGTATTTAAGAAAAATATGTCTTGAGCACATTATGTAGAAATTTTGGATGAATTAAATAGGAACTTGAAAAGTGTTTTTGAATGCATGCAAACTTGTTTAAATCCTATCTTGAGTTTTTGTGATCCAAAAATTATGAAATTTTGTGGGTAAGCTAGTCTTGTATAGTAGAAGCTCTGGTTAAAATTTGAGAGTCATTGCATATGTAGTTTTTGAGTTATAGATTTTCCTTTTATCACTGGTAGATACTTGGGTGAATTTTTGTAAATTATCTATGAATCCAATGACCATGAAATTTGTTGGAGAGTATCCTAGTACCTTAAGGATGCTAGGAAAAATATAAAATCTGTTGTTTGACACTTTTTACTAGGGTTTCCTAATTATGTCATTTTAAGCCATCATGTCTTATCATTTTTGTGTAGGATGTTATACTTACTCAAATGGTGTGAAATTTTTATGGTAGTCTACTTAGGGCATGTAGTGTCTACTGTAATTTTTGTAGATTTAATGGTGTAGTTTTCATATATGTTTACTATTTCCTCTAATTAATTAAATAAATTAAGAAAGGTATTAAAAGAAATGTTTTGGTGATGGACACCCTACTTTCTGGTGTTCTTGTGATAGGTGTGATATGTGAGTAAAGTTAGTTTTGTCCAAGTAAGTGTTTATATCATAAGTTAATAATTATTTGTTTGCATTATGTCCTTCTGGACAGATCTGGGTACTTTGGAAAGTTTCCCATGATCTTTTGGTTTTCTGTGAATATGATGAATACAAAAGTTGTAGATAATTTATGTATCTAGCTCCTGTCAAAATTTGAGGGCATTTGGCCCAGTAGTTTAGAAACTACAGCTGTTTAAGGTTAGGTTCCAGTTTTGCTTACTCTCTACCTTATGAGGACAGAGTTCTGTTGATTTATGAATTCGACTTGGTAAAGTGTTGAATCATGCTTTGAGGTCTAAAAATGAATTGTAGACAATTTCATAAGCTTTCTAGATTGTCTTGTTGCATGTCATTTGGAATTATAAATCTCCAGTTATGGCTAGTTTACTGCACCGCTACATAGTATTCATTTTGCTAAAATACAAATGCTTGAGTGTATGTTGTTGCAAGGTTCTCGTTGATTGTTTAGGGGTTAGCCTAACTTGAGAATATGCTTAAGTGCAGGTGCTAGGTCATTAACTGAAGATGAGCAATTATACATTAGGTTGTACTCCCTCCATCTCAAATTGTAAGTCATTCCAAGAATCTTGGAGAGTCAAAGTTTTTCAAGTTTGACCAAATTTATATAACAAAATAATAATATTTATCATACCAAGTAAGTATCATTAGATTCTTCATTAGTTATATTTTCATATTATACCTATTTGATGTCATCAATCTTTGTGTTTCTCTCTATAATTTTAGTCAAACTTGAAAAAGTTTGACTCTCCAAGATTCTTGGAATGACTTACAATTTAGGATGGAGGGAGTATAAACTTGGTAAGTAAAGTGATTTGAATAGGGCTTAAGTTGGAATATGCAAACTACAGCAAACATGCGCATTCTCCGAGCATCCCTGACATTCGTTCATGTGCATCCATGATATTTATCTTGCGCATTCATGCAATAGGTGTGCCGGAGGGAGTGACATTGCTGGAGTTCGAGGGAGCCAACCAGGAGGAGGAACCCGAGGTGCAGGAAGCCGACGAAGCAGTCGCCGCGGAGGAATTGCCCGAGTGCCCTGACCACCAGCCTTCCTTGTTCCTGAAAGACAAGCCCCGGAGCATATTAAGCCTCCCATGTTTTTACAAATACTTTGAGTACCTTTTATTGTTAATGATGCATTAAGTATAGGAATTGGTTGGAACCAATTACTGTATTATATATCCTTCCTTGTCCAGATATCGCACTGGAATCCTATTTAAGTTCAGGAATGGGTTAAATGCTTAGCCATGCTTAGTGCGGTAGAAGTCAGGTGATTTTCTGTCACCTGTGAGCTTTAGGATGAGGTGGATCACGGTTGGCTATATTTGCTATCGTGGAAAAGAACCATGTGAATAATGAATTCAAGACCGGGCGGAGTCTTGTGTAGGTTTGAACATAGTGACTCCGTCTGAGTCGTTTAAGGACCGATACGCTATACGTCCTCATGTCATGTTGAACGCAGCCTAACACTTAGCTGGCCGGATAAGTCGTTCCGACCGCAAAGCCTAGTAGCTCGACTCAGGCCGGGGACGCGAGCAGTGGTGGCATTCTGAAGGTAGTAAGGATGTGCGGAGAGCCATTGGCATAAGTCCAAGGCGGGTTAGAGTCCCGAACAACCTTGGCAGAGTGGTTCTATGAGAATGTTGATCTGATCGGACTCGCGACTCCTAAATCCTACCAAAGGTGACTTGTTTGCGACTCCGACGGGAGAAGCAGGGTTTGTGTTTAGGAATACCCCTCCAGCTGGATAGGAATCGATTCGAATCACCGTCTCTCTCGGATAGTGAGAACTTGACTGAGCAGCGACAATGTAGATTCAATTAATTTAACGATATGGTTAAATGGATGATGATGATGATAAGGTTGCACAATGAATACCTGATATGGTTATTAATGTTTGCACCCTAATAAAATGATTGCTTAGTACATGCGCTAATATAGTTGACAGGTTAATGGCTAAAAAGTCACTGCTAGTTCAGGTTAAGAGTTAATCATTATTACTTATGCTTTTCTGCAAAAAGAAAGTGTCAGCCAGATCCACTACATTAAGCTATGCATAATCCTTGGTGTCATTTATTTTGGTTTCCGACGGGTAAGTCTAGCTGAGTACATTCCCGTACTTAGGGTTTATTCCCTCTTGTTGCAGATGACCTTCTATATCAGGGATTCTGTAAATATTGTCTCCACCCGGCGGGTGATGAAGACTAGATCATGGGCATGATCTCTGTTATCTTATCTGAATGCTTTTGCGGACTGTGATCAGCGAACCAGTATGTGTATTTGAACTCGGGTGTGTGAGTTAAACTATTTGCTTCCGCATGTTTTACAAGACTTATTTTGTAATAACGATGACTCTGTGATGATGTAATCTATTTGCGAATGTCTGCGAAATGTTGTAACGTACGATATGTTATGTTGAATTACTGTGATCTTGGTTGTATGCAAGTTGGTTTGAAATCCTTCGAGATTTCACTTGACTACCGGGTTTATATGGGCTCAAGTTCGAGAATTTGATCGTTCCGACGATTGTTTTTGTACTTGTGCTCTTATAAATTGGTTGATTCTATGACAATTTATACCTTTGTCTTGAGCCTTTTGTTTTTCTCTTTCTTCTTTTCAAGTTCAAGCATTTGATCATCACCATGCCATCACCATCGTCATGATCTTCGCCATTGCTTCATCACTTGGAGTAGTGCTACATATCTCATAATCACTTTGATAAACTAGGTTAGTACTTAGGGTTTCATCAATTAACCAAAACCAAACTAGAGCTTTCAGAGAGACAAATGATTTGGGAGAGAAGGCAAGAGAAGAACGAGCTGCTCCTCTCGGTGCTATAACACCATTCGGTGGCAACCGTGCTTGCTGAAGGACCATGGTGGAGCGCGACTAATAGGACCTCGACCTCTGCAGTGAATTCAAGGCTTCAACAACACTCGACACATCAATAGTACCGATATTAACGACTTAGTCGAGATGACAGGAATCGCTGAGAAGGTCAAAATCACCCGAGATCGTTGCCGGTGCGGGATGCACCTCCTTGTGCGCCGATTTGCTTGCTGGTACGAGGTATTCCGATCATTCCGTCCGATACCGGAACGGAATTGATAACTATGGTCACTCCTCCTTGTAATGGCATTATAGTAATCTATTTTCGTACTCTTTTACTCTTCTATAAGAATCTTTTGCTGAAGGGTTCTCCTCTGTATTCATTAGTATTTCCTAAAAAATGAATTGTTTTGTAGTGTTATTACTGTGTGTGCAAACATAAAACAGTACAATAAATCTAATGATTTTTTCTGCAGGCCAAACGCAACCACGTGCAAGGTATTAACTAGAGGATACTTGCAAGAGATGAGTGGCTCGGTTGAGCTCGGCCATAGATCAAAGCCGCATTTTGGTCAATTAGTCAGGTGCATAAAATTTAGAAAATATATACAAACATTTATAAATCTCAAAAAAGCCATTTTAATGTGTCACTCCTCGTTATTATATTATGGCATTATTATAAAACCCAATTACGGGAGGGTGTTCGAGCAAGCTTTCCTCCAAATTTCTATTCTGGCCGGTGGCCGCGGCCACGGGACACGTGCGGATACCCATTGGATTCCAAGTTTCCAACGGCCAGGATAACACGTCCGCCTTCCGTACTGCGGCACTTTCCTCCCCGAGCCGACCGCACGGCCGCGCCACCGCAAAAAATATGAAACTTTGCTAGGGTTCTTCGCGAAACCCTCGCCGCCTGCTGCCGAATCCCACCCAATCCGGCCCCTTTGGGGTCCGGAATCAGGGTTTATGCATGGCTTCGACCCCGCCCGCCAATGCCGACGGCGGGCAGGAGGCGGCAGCGGGCCCCGCGCCGGTCGCCGCCTCCGCCACCCCCTCCGCCCCACCCAGGTCGAGGTGGGCGTCGGAGATCAAGGTGTACTCCCGCAAGCACCCTCGCAAAAATCCTAAATCCCCTCCACCGGAACCCGCCTCCAATCCGAATCCCCTCTCGGAAACCCTATCCTCGGTTCGTCAGTCCATTCGCTGCTCGGAGGCTGGGGCCGCTGCGCGGCCCGATCCGGCGGCTCAGAGTTCCACTCAGCCTCCGTTCCCCGATCCGGCGACGCCGGGTTCCGCTCCCCCTCCGCTCCCCGCCCTGGCGGCGCCGATTTCCTCTTCCCCTGTTCCTGCTCTGCCTCCCGCACCGGCGTTGCCTGTGGAACACACTCCCGCCTCGGGTGACATTTCCTCTTCTCCTGTTCCTGCTCCGCCTCCTGCACCGGCGTTGACAGGGGAACACACCCCCGCCTCAGGTGACATTTCCCCGGGGCTTAACCGGGACGGGAGTGCTGTTCCCAATGGCCATGGCAACGGCTGGGCGGTTGTCGCTGCTGAGAAGGCGCAGAAGCGCAGGGCCAGGAGTGAGCTGTGGCGGCAGCTTGCGTCAGAGCTTGACCAGGTGCGTGTGCTCTCCAAGCGGTTGAAGGCGGCTGCTGACGCCTTGGCGCAAGAGGATTCAATGGCCTTGCCCCAGGCTATGGTGCTGCTGCCATCACAGGTGGTGGATGCTGGGTCCCTGCGATCACAGTTTTCGCCAACAGGTCCGGTGACGCCCTTACCTGCCCGGGATATGTTTGTCCCTGCCCGCTCGCTGCTGCAGCGGGCACCACTAACTGTGTCGGTGGTTCACACAGAAGCCTATGAGAAGGACAAGCGGACACCTAAGGCAAATCAGTTGTACCGAAACTCAGAATTTTTGCTTGCCAAGGATAAGTTCCCACCTGCAGATCCTCATGGACGCAAGAAATCAAAGCACCACAAGAAGAAGCGCCGGACCTTAGAATCTCGTGGTTCAGACTTTGATGCTGAGCGGAGGCTATACTCTCATGCATTCAAGAAATCTTCGTCTCTCTTGAGTCGGCTAATGAAGCACAAATTTGCATGGGTGTTCAACAAGCCTGTTGATCCAGTTGCACTTGGTTTGCATGACTATTTTGCAATCATCCAGCACCCGATGGATCTTGGAACGATAAGAGGACGACTCAGCCATGGGCAGTACTGGAACCCAAAGGAGTTTGCTGAGGATGTGCGGCTCACTTTTCAGAATGCCATGACATATAACCCCAAGGGGCAGGATGTTCATTTCATGGCTGAGCAGTTGTTAGGAATCTTTGAGGCACAGTGGCCAGAGATCGAAGCCGAGGTTGATTATCTTGCATCATGTCCTCCACTGCCAAAGAAGTTTCCACCACCCCCTATTGACTTGCGTTTCCTTGAGAGGTCAAATTCTGTAAAACACCTTGTGCCGTTGGACTCCAATTCACGGCCCATAAGCCATACTCCCACTTACAGTGCCCGCACACCATCAATGAAGAAACCAAGGGCAAAGGATCCGAATAAGAGAAACATGACAATGGATGAGAAGCGTAAACTTAGTGATAACCTCCAAAAGTTGCCACCAGAGAAGCTTGACGCAGTTGTGCAGCTCATTAAGAACAAGAATTTGTCAGTTATGCAGCATGATGATGAGATTGAGGTTGAAATTGATAGCATGGATGCTGAGACACTTTGGGAACTTGATAGGTTTGTGGCTAACTACAAGAAGAACCTGAGCAAGCAAAAGCGAAGGGCAGAGCGTGCATTGCTTGCGAGACAAGATGCAGAGTTGCGTGCACGGGATTCTGTGCAACAAATACCAGTATGAGCATTCAATCATTATTAAGTATATGCAGTAGTATAATTGTATGCAAAGCTATCATTGGTGCTGAATGTTACAATCTCATTTCATTGCAGACTCAAGAGCCTAATGTTTGTAAAAAATCTCCAAAGCAAAGTAAGATAGGTTTGCTATATTTTGTATAATCATTTTAAAACCACATTGTAAGCAAGATGGTAATTTTTTTTGTGTGTACCAAAGATTTGACAGTGGGCGAGCAATTGACATCTTCTGCGCCAGATCAAGCTAATAATAATGGACAAAACGCAATTAGTTCAAGCAGTTCAAGCAGCTCTAGCAGTGATTCAGGGTCATCTTCTAGTGGTAATATTTTGTCCTTTCATATTTGCTTTTGCCCTTTGTTTAATATTAACTTCTTTGGTACTTTAAATTAGTATATGGACTGTTGAGAAAATTTCCTATTGTATCATATCCAAATCATTTAACATTCTTTTTTTTTCTGGCAGACTCAGACAGTGATAGTTCTACAGATGGGTCGGGTGCGGCCAATTCATCTTGAAATATAGGTAACTTCATCAGAATACTGTGTTCCCTTTTTTTGCTACTGTACCCAGCCAACTGTGTTGTTGATTGCTTTGTGAATTACTGTGGTTTATTGCATGGACATTAATCTGCATTTTACTATTCCTTTCAGTAGAGTTCTTTTGTTCAATTTTATTGATTTTTAATCAAATGATGTTGTTTTCATGTAAATTACATATTATTTCCAAGAACTTCAAGAGCAGTCAGTATGTGTTATTTAGGTGAATGGCTACTTTTGGCCCTCAACTTTGGCACTGGTTTAGTTTAAACCCTGAACTCTAGATCTGTTTAATCATTATTCTGGAAATGTCAAAACTCAAAGCTGGTGCAACTAAGCATCCTTAACCTGAAGTCCTAAACCACATATATTTGTTTTCTCTTTCTCTTTTGTTTTAGTTGGTGGCTTATGTTGGGTTTCAGCTCTAGCCTACCCCAATTTGGTTGGGATTTGACTTGTTGTTGTTGTTATGGAAAGTGCAATCATTCACATCTTTGCTCTCTTACATTGGGAAAATCCGTTTTTTTATACCAAAAGTTAAACCTAACCTTATTTTATACCAGCATGCATGCTGGAAATATTTACAGTATAATCCAATGTTTTGTAAAAGAAGTTATAGCTGGCATCTGTTCACTTACCCTTGCATAGTTAAACTGACCAATCATAAGGCCATAGCATCTCATATGAATATACTGGAGAGCATATTGCCAGCTATGAGGTCAACCTGATGGTTATTTTCAAAATCAGTACAAGGAAAAGAAACTCTGATATGAACCTTGATTTTCATGACCTGTATTTATGCTTCCATATTTTCTGAGTTACTTTTGCTCCCAGCCTTGGAAATTTCTAAATAGAAATTGTAGACAATATGGTAGTAAAGTAGTTCTCACTTCTTTGCTCTAAACATTTCATGAAATGCAGTTTGTATTTTAATAAAGCCATGGTTGACTACCTTCATGGTTGCTGGATGAAATAGGACAAGGTTTTAGATTTCCTGTTGTTCTTAAGTCTTCCCAGGGTTCAGCCACATGGCCTCTTTGTTAGTCTTGTCTTGATGGCTTGAGGAAGAAGCAAACCAACTGATCAAGGTTGAGTGGCATATACTTGGCCAGGCCTCACTTGTAACTTGGTGGCAATGATCCACAAGACCATGTCCTATCTGGACACACTTGGTGAGCTTGGTATGAAACAAGGTGGAAAAGTAGATATTTGCTGTCCTAAACAAGGCCACTCCGATTTCTGTGGTCACATTCAGATCTTTACTTTGAACTGTTTGTCCTGCAATGAGTCACGATAATAAGTTTAAAATTACTTTATTGTTTTGCTTCTCACCTTATGCCACCAGTTGTCTTAGAGCCTTGTCAGCTTCCTCTAGCACGTGGCACTGGAATCATAGTTCCGCTAGGCGCTCGCCTAGGCGCGACTAGGCTCTAGTCGGAGGGTGTCCGCCTCACCTATGGGGGTAGGCGGACCCCTAGGTGGCGGCGGCTTGTCGTCGGCGGCGGTGGTGGTGGAGGAGCGCCTGGCGGAGGTCGTCGGTGGGGGAGGAGGAGCTGCTGCGGCGCGGCGGGGCAGGCTGCTGGCGGGCGGGCGGCTGCCATGCAGAGGCAGGCCTGGCAACTCGGCGGTGTGGGAGGAGGCGTGGATAAGGTGCGCTGGGCCGTTTTTAATGGTGGATAAGGTGGGTTGGGCCGTTTTTATGGGCCTTTCTTCTCTTTTCTCCCTGTTCCATGACCATTGGTCTTCTATTTTTTCTTTTCTTTTAAGTACTTAAGTATGTATTAATAAATTTAAGCATGTATTGGAAAACGCCTAGGAAAACGCCTAGGAACGCCTAGGCGCGATTAATCCCGCCTAGGCGCTAGGCTGAGGGTCAGCGCCTAGATTCCGCCCAGCGCCTAGCTGAACTTTGATTGGAATCCTACCCAGCTGCCTTTATCCATCACCGAGGCATTCAATTATGGCTTCCATCCTGGATTGCTACCTTGCAGCTTGAATATGACCCACATTTAACCATGGCACAAATGAAATGTTATGGCGCTGGATTTCAGATGTTTTAGATCTTTTTAGGAAAAGATTAGTTTCCATTGATTATGCTTCTATACATATTAGAAATTGGCAGGTATGTTTTTGGAAAGGAACAGGAGTGTCATCTTATGGTAAAGGAAGACGATAAGAAATGTCATGGTCTATTATGGTAAAGGAACAGGAGTGTCACTGTTTATTATTTCCTCAATCTAAAGAGACATTTAGTGGATATTTATGTGTTTTCATTATCAAGCCATTACTTTCAACAAATGTTTGTGACAAAAAAAATTCCAATTTTGCTTTGAATCAAGACACTTGGTTTATTTGTTTTAACCAGATGCCCCTGTTAACAAGGCATAATTAGCGTCATTACATACTGATTTTGTTGTGTGCCCTTAATATGGGATTTGATCCTTTTGTCCTTTCTGTTAGTGAGTTAGAGAGGTCCTTCCTATTTGCGTGAGAGTAGTATCATATTGCTAGTTGTTAGTGTTATATAACTTAACAAGTATAAGTGTTGTAGAGGAACTGATTAGGTGATCAGTGTCTGCAAAGTTGCTTCTCCTTTTTTTTGCACCACCTGTTCTTTCGAAAGGAAGAAACAACGTATTTGATATTTTATATAAAAATCAACTATTCAATCTGGTACCCGAACTGTCATATAAGCTTATTAGGTTTCATCTTCAATTATATCTTGGCACTTGCTATAATACTTCGTGCAATTTTCCTGAGAATGAATAATTAATTTTGTCACATTGAATAGCCTCTTCCTTTCTCTACAGACAATTTATTTATTGAGGGGTTTATCCCCTTGTGGCCTGTGGACCACTCGTGTTGTCCATTTTAGGTTAGTCGAATTTTTAGTTAGGAAAGAAGTGGGTCTATACTAAATAGAAGTTAATTCTCACATCTCACGCTCCAAGTACATCTAAAAAAATGCTGATTACTCACCACAGTTTATCCATGCACAAAAGGTTATCCAAGTAGTTTGTCAGATTCTTTGGCATTGCTTGTTTTATATGATAATCTCCATGCCCCATGACCTATGCTTCATTCATTGAGTATCTGTGCATTAAAATGATTCATGGAGCCTATCTGCACAGGGATTTTGAGCTAGTAGCTCTGCTTTGTTTTACACAAATCTTCAAATGCTTTTGTTATGTGAAGGTTCCTGTTTTGGAATTCCAATCGATTGAGCATGGATTTGTGGCATATCATCGCCTTTTCAGGATCTGTTTTTTCTTGGACTCAATAGTGTTACTTAGACTTCCCTGCAAAATATTCTATTGCACAAATAGTTTACATGGAGCTTCCACATACCTTCTTTTCTTCTTCCAGTTTTCCTCCCTCACTCCTTCCTTCAGGATCTGGCAGCACAGCACCTGGACTTGCCGCTCGTGGTCGATGCCTGCATATGGAGCGCAAATGTGCAACACCCAGACGGAGTGTTGAGGGCCTGGCACCCGTGGATCTGTGGCAGTGACTGGTGGGCGGCACCTGCGCCTGCGCTTTGCTCTGCTGTTGCCTGCTGCTCAGTTAGTCGGTGTGGCGGCGGCTAGGGTTAGGTGGACTTGGAGTTGGAGTTTTCCAGAGTTCAAGTAAAGGAGCGTGCGCTTATATATGAGGCAGGGCTGGTGGTCTAGCCGTCTGGGGCACTGGGCTGATTCTAGTGGGCCATTGCCTATTCGGTCATATCGGCGTCTGGGGCACTGGGCTGATTCTAGTGGGCCATTGCCTATTCGGTCATATCGGTTACCTGAACAAAGAAACTGAGTACCTGATATAATGTCTGGTTTTTGTTCGAGGGAAAAAAAGTGCCTGGCTTTCAGCACAGGGCAACCAAAGGAACCCAGGACCGGATTTTCTGTCTGGTTGGGTTCGGTCTTCGATCTTTGATTTTTTTGCCTAGGCCTATCTAGGAGTATAATACTCCATCTGTTTGATTTTACTGGATGTGCTTCTTCCTTGGTTGTTGTGCAAATATAGTGCGTAGGTGTAAATGCTTTGTACCAAAACACCCCTATTTACTTCCTGCTCACAACATTGATTTAATACTACTAGAAAGCAATTTGTTGCTACCGGCCAGTACTCATGCATGTGTGCATGCAACTAGTGCATACCCCCTGTTTGGCTGATGGTAATTAGGAATAACCAAGGGCACTTTAGTCAATTTAGCTACCTCGTTTTTTTTTTTTTTTTTGCCCAGGGAAAATACACCATCTAATTCTGAACAAAGGGAGTAGAGGCCTGCATTAGGTTCAAGCAGTGGCAAATACACAACTATTTCCTGTTTGTATTGTCACATCTTTTTGCTAGTATTCCATTGTTAACGTAAAATTTTCTCGGAGTTATTTGTGTTCCAGGACTGTGATAATCTAGTCCTGCTTGCTCTATTGAACTGTTTCTATTATTCAGCACAAATACTTTATGCTGGTTTTGCAGGTTCAGAAGTTCGTCAAGTTGACTGTAACTCAAGAATTGTATTCAGCATGACAATTCCTAGTTAGATTGTACATGTTTATCTTCTTGCTTAGGAAAGCTCCTAGGTAGCTGCTAATGCTAGGTTGTCAATGGAAGACAAAAAAAAAAAAAAAAAAACTGGGTGTTTACTGACTGCTTGTGTGCTGGTGTAAGGCGGGCCTTCCTCCATCCATCCTTCCAAGCATATTTTGACTTTTATTGGCTAGAATTTGACAAAAGACTGGTTTGGCATAAGTTCTTGCCTCTATCCCATATACTGATGAGCATGTTTCTTTTGGGTTTGTATGTGTCCGCCTCAAAATGTATCTGGCACTGAAGTAGGAAAATGGATGTAAGAAACCAAACAAACGGGCTTATTTCTTGCCCATAGTTGCATAGTTAGAGCTCTTTATCTGCTGTGATTCAAAAATCCTAGAGAGATCAACGCCCATGGTGTACTATGTTATATCTGGTGTATTTGAAATTGTGCA